TAAGGATAATATATAACGACCAGCGCGTTTGTGGTGTAATTAAAAAATCAATAATAATGATATTTAGAATGCAGGTTTCGTTGGGTTATTTACGAGACACCATCGTGATTCCTCTATATGAAATACATATATTATTTATTGTATTTCCAACGATATATTAGTTTATCATTCAATAGTAAAATAAATTATACAGAAAACCATTTTCATTTGGAAGAATAATATACATATTTATATACCTATTATATTAAATTTATAGTGCCTACATTTAGTAGGATCAAATAATATACAAATAAAGTTGAAATTATTTTACTATTATACTGCACTACAACAGCGTTTAAATGATTAACAGCTGGTTGAAGAAAATTACTAAATGCAACAATTTTAGTGTACCTATCTAAGTTAAAAATTGTCAACCATAAACATGTTCTTCTTAGACCTAGTATAAAAGGATTAAACAGCAATAAATTATACTAAAAAATATTTTACTCGATGGCAACATAAATTTATTTCATGCACTCATGACCATTTTAGAACAAATTATATTGAACTGTGAACACCATAGCTGTGTTAATAGTGCAAGTTTATTATTATTTACTGGATTAATTACTTTTTCAGATCTTGAAATGTACTTTAACACTAAAATAATATAAATAAAATAAACATATCAAGACAAAGCATTAACACAATAACGAAAAATAAGAAATTATCAGTATAGTAAATATTAATTAACGATAATAGTTCTGAGAAATTTTTTTTGTATTGATCTCAAGCATCTATGCAACTATGGTGACTAGAGTTTTGGTAGGGGGTTACACGGTTGGTTGAATTTTGAGAATTAATAATCGTTAAAAATTAATCTATTGTATTTTGTATTAATATTTAATAGTGCTACAGATTAGTACATATATATTATACGACATGACATTTTATGAGTTTTCTAAAACCTAATGCATTTTTAATATTCCATCCAGTAATCTTTTAGTAATGAATTTTCAAAGTATCAATAACAACATTTTTTTATATACCTACATACTTAGCAAAGTGACCAAGTTTCGTGACAATATTTTTACCATAGACACCTAGATGAAAATCAAGAATATTTGTAAATTGTTAATAAACATTTATCACATTATATCAGGCTTGAACAAAATATGATTCTACTTCATAAATCAAAAACAGTTATATTCGTGCCACGCTAAGAAGTAAAAAACCAAAATACGACGGAAAGAAAAAACGAAAAACTCAGCAGGCATCGAGACAGGAGCCGTTTTTTAAAATCGTGTATTGTTTGACATGCGATACAAGGACGAACGCCAACAACAATACACAGATAATATTTATTGAGAAATCAACAGCCAAAAAAATCAAACATTAAAAAAAAAACGATTTCAAAGAAGACCTGCCAAGAATAAAAATACACCCCGCATAATCGCGTAAAAACATGGTATGATATATGGAATTCCTTGAAAAGTCATCACAAAACAAACAGGTCACCACCAACCTGGAAACAAGTACTAAAAACGACAGGGATTCGAAAGTGCTTGGTGCGACAGCGACTCGATGCGTTTAGAGCACGCACGGTATCCAACGCGGGGTTAAGTGAGGTATATCATAATGTACATTTAGTTTTCACGCACAACTTAAAATATACGTAAAAAAGGGCCATTAAAAAGAACGATCGGGAGGAAGACTATATAATTTTATATTTTTTTACTGCCCACACTACTACAGTCGTGTGCATCATATATCGCGTACACACGCGAACGAATAATATATAATGTATGCATAAAAAAACTAAGAAAGTACAGCTGCAGCATTCCACAGCGTTTCATATATTACCCGAGTGTTATACATTATATATACCCGTTGCGAGCGCGTCAATTACAGTCGCATTTCGAAAACGACTTCCGGTCATTGACCACCGCCGAAACGCGTATACCGCGTGCGAGTACGGTCAGTCCAGTACCCACGGGGAAACAGGTTGACGGGAATCGCGCGATTCAGTATATCCACGTGACGAAAATTTGCTAACACGCAATTTTTTTTCATCTCTGCCGGTTTGTAGGATGTAGCGACCCAGAAGGGAGTTGGTGGACGAGTAGAATTTTAAGTACTCCACACCTGTCAGGACGGCGTTAATTGCAGGAGAAATGAAATTAAGTCACGGCGCATTAAATTATCCGGGGCTCGCTAGATCTCACTCCCTGTGTTTTGTCTGCACCCCAATTTCATATACGATTATTTCCGAGGAGGAAAAAACCGACGTGCCGCCGCCATGTTCGCGGGGTGATGAGAACCCTATAGTTGCGAGTAAAAGCCTCATTCATTTGTCCATCACGAGCCACGCACACGCAGCGGCAGTCCCCCTCGTCGACTACTATTGTTGCCGCTACCACCACGGCCGCCATTGGTCTCGCCGCGATAGCGTTACGCGTGATAACCGCGAAATGATCCCCGCCGAGGCGGCGACAAAAATTATTTAAAAACATAAAACCGTATATACTCGTCTATTCGAGAACGCGAGACTGCTTCCATAGAACATCATTAGTAATATACAGCGATTTGCCGCCCAAAGCTCGCGCGAAGTTGCATAATATACGAAAAAGGTGATCAAAATTACAGTACCTAGCAAAGGTTCAGATGTTTATAATATAATAGTTTACCTTTGGACGGCCGGTTGTCTCGGTTGGAATTGAGAGCTCGGTTGGCCGAACGCATAACCGTTGTAATCTTGAGTGTTACCCTGGTTGGCCTGCTGTTGACTCTGGTCCATGTCGTTCGGGGTCATAACTACGCAGTGCACCGGGTTCGAACTAAATACATATACAATGTTACACACAACGCAGCCAACAATAAATTATTATAATATTTGATTACACGTTCTACTAACGCTACTACGGTTTAACATCATTTATCACACACAACCCACAGTACTGTATACCATAATAATATTAAAATTTAAAATATTATAGTGCATTTATGTGCACGTGTCGCAGCGGCAATCGTCGTCGCCTCCTCCTCTCAGAAGAGTACGTTTGCGACATCGAAGACCCGAGTCGTAACGAGAGATATATTGTTATCATAAACGCGAGTGTATAAGTTCGGGCCGGTGGTACAATAGAGACGAGTGCCGCTGCAACCGTCCATAGTTTAAGACACTGCAAAACAACCTATTATATTATTCTACGTATACATGGCATCGCTCTCGGAGATCGATGGTCGATTTTTACGACTCTTTCGGGCCCACCGACGGTACTTGTTGGTTAGGAAGGCACCGGTATCGGCGGCGGAGGATTTTACCGCTAACATACTCCGCGTATATCGATCCCCGTTCGAACGCGGCGACGGCAGCGTCGACGACTAATATAAACGCCCGACCGCCCGCGCGCCTCGCCCTGCCGCCGACACATTACACGCGTACGATAAACTCGGCACGCCGCACACGCAGCCGGTCGTCGTCGTCGTCGTCGTCGCGCGTTTGCCCTTCTCCTCCGACGCGACGCGTCCTCTACACGCACGCACACACGAGGAATGTGCGGCGACGGCTCTCCTCTGTTGTAGCCGGTTAGAGTGTGTGTGTGTGTGTGTGTGTGTGTGTGTGTGTGTGTGTGTGTGTGTTTGCGTGTGTGCATCGAGCATATTATAGTGCACGGCAAGAGGTGTACAAATCGCATAGTATTATTATATTTACGCCACAGTGTCATCCAATATGCACGAGACGTTTGAAACTAGCGCGTAAAAGTGAATAATATTTTTAACTCACACGACAGCTATAACAACAATAATGGTATAGTATCGCGTACACGCGGCAGGTACGACGGGTCAGGGGAAGCGTTTTTTTTCTTCCCCCGACTTCACCTGCGAGCGAAGCGCGCCGTTCGCGAGGGGGTGGAGACGATCGGAATGTCTCGGCGGCGGTGAACGTCGTAAGCCACGTGTGGGAAATGTGACTTGTCGCGTGCGTAACGCGATGGAAAACCGCCACCGAGGGTATAATACAATAATATTATATTGAACGGGAGAAAAACGGACGACAGCGACCTATAAGATATATTTTTGTTTTGCCATTTTCCTTCTATACTACAAAATAATTTGTTTAAAAAAAAAGTTTACGTGCGATGACGGTACATCATATTATTCTAGTAATCTAATACCGGATGGTCGCGTTAGTGTATGAACACATCTAATATGTGGCAGGGGCGGTGGCGGAGTAAACGTTTTCGAAATCGATCAAAAGCGTTTACGCCGTCGACGCCAGCTAGCAAACAAAATATTAATAATAAAGATTAAAAAAAAAACTACGTACTGTTGGCCGTGCAATATTTATACACCAAGGTAGTAAAACTTTACATACACAAATCGACGACGACGTCGATTATGACAGCGCGAAATAAAAATAATTTATCAGCTTCGTTTTTAAAATACTACTTGGAGAAAATATACGTTTTTATTCCGGCTACGACGACGGAGTTTTACTGAGCGCTAGAAACACCGATTATCACAAAACGCGCACAATTTCACTTAAATTAACGCCGAAAAAACTTATTTTCAAAATAAACTATTAGAAAAAAATATATAATATGTATGCGTCCGCTGTTCGGATATTATATTATATTATAATATTAAATTATTACTACACTACTATTATTGTTGTTATTGTCAAGTTACGTTACTATAATATTATCGAGTCGCGAACGGAAACCAAAACGAAAACAATAGCTGACGGTACAGAATAAATGTCAAAAATATTGTTTAGTTGAATAATTAATATTTCTATTAAAATATAATAAATAAATGTACTTTTAATTGTATGATGTGATGGATTTTGGTCGGAGCGCACGGCGCAAAAACAACGTTACGGACGGACGGGCCGCGGTAGACAGAGAGGGAGAGAAAAAAATACTTAAAACTCGTCCGAAGTACTACATAATATATATATATAAAACGCAGTGTGGCCAACTACGGCGGTGTGTAGTCGGCCGCTGCCACCACCGCCGTCGACGTCGTATGATGTCCCGAACGTAAACGTGTTTTTTTCCTTCCTCTCTTCCTTCTTCCTCTGTATTTTTTTTCTCTATTTCATTTATTTTTTACTATGAAACTCACGCCATTCATTATCGGCGTATACTTTGAACGGGATAACATCGGACCATTTCGGGCACGTCACACAAACCGTGGCCTGATTGCAAGCGGCGCGGGGGTTCGATCGGCACATATACAATAATATGTAATATACCTATAATTATAGCATATTATTCTCGTAATAATATGCACTTGTGTTACCTACATAGTAATAATACGCTTGTAAGACGAGCATACATATTATTATATAATATTTATATATTTAATAGCATCATGAAGTGTACATTGTTTCCACAATAAGTGTTTTTGCTTTTTTTTGAGGGGAAATGGGGGTTCTTCAAAATTCGAAAATCCTGTAGGATTAGTTATTGTTTTTATTCGAGTGTCGGATATAAGAACAACGCAATAAGACATAATATAGTACGATATTAATTTATTATATGATATCGGTGAACGTAACGGCGAGGCAACGGGTTTCGCGTGCAGTACCTACTCGTATGTATTTTGTATTTGCAGAGCAAAACATTGCAGTTATAAGTACTAGAGTTATACAACCGTCTATAAAATAGTGTTCCTCCGCCGTGACATTTCTTTGACCTTCCACGCGCGCATTTGTTATTTATTTTTTTATGACACTGGTTTCTCGCAAAACGCCGGCGACAACGCTTTCCCTCTAAACATTTCTCTCAGAGAGTCCACTGCTCCTATTCCAAGACGATAAAATAAACGAACACTCGAATATACGCGAATAAATAATAAATGGATAATATATGTATTCCCGTATAGGCCAATATACCATAATTGTATATGTTTATCGATGAATATAAGCGAATCTCGCCGTCGTCGCCAGTCACGTCCTTAACGAACATAATATAAAATCCAAAGAGAGCGTTAGCAATAGAAGCTGCAGGGCGCCGCGCCGGGCCGCATGCAGGGACGGGTTATATTTAGAAACTGCGAATGATACGATTTTTTAACGGTAAACCCAAAGCTGTAAAGAATAGTCCCAAAGCTGGATTTACCTAGGGTCCCTCTCCCTCCAAACAAAATAATAATAAATAAAAACTCCATTAATCAAGTCAGAAGGCACACAAATCAAGACGATTTAATATATAATATTATTATATTATACATTATTTTATGGGTCTATAGAATTCGATATTCTCCACGGACACAATGAATACGTATCATATAAAAACCTACTACAAGTGTACGAAAATACGAAATAACCTACCTATATTGTATACTAGTGTACAGGACAAGGGCAAACGAGTAACGACAACGTTTGATATACATTATACATATAATATATAGTGACCTGGTGGGGATGGTGATGGTGGTGTTTGTGTGCGGAGAGTAATAAATATTTCGTACATTTTGCAGGTCAGGATTTTCAAACTACCTGCAGGCTGCAGCAGAACGAGGCAAAAGACCTTGCACCCGGATTACATCAACAGCAATATTGAAAATCAGGCATCCCATCAAACCTTGCATTTTTATATTTTCTACCATGTATTTTGTATACACACTACTATAGCATGCTATAGGAACTATTATAATCAATTATAATAATATGTGTATGTTGTTGTTGTTGTTGTTTTTACACACACCAGAGGAAGTGGATAATATGTAGATAAATTCTCGTTAAATCGTTGGAAATCACGATAAATAGGTCGTGTTGAGTCCAAATTCATAGCACATGGACAATGACCTCATTCGAAAAAGTATGAAAAAATCCATTCAAAACGATGGCGGTAGTGTGTTATTACGCATTACTCGATTAGGTAATTAATAAACATTGCTTATACCAAAAATGTCGATAATATATAATACATATTGTACATTACGAATGTGTATATTATTGAGAGGAAAACAAATATTTTAAGATCGATGTTCCATGCCTAAATGTTTTAAATTGAACAGGAATGCCATCTGTTTCCGGTTGAAATTGTACATGTTTACTAGTAGGTATACAAAATACAAAAATAATACCAATTTCTTACAAAATTCATGGTATTGAATTATTATGTTAGTTAATTGCCAAACTTAAGAATTAAAATAAATACATTGTACGAAAAAATACTTCTGAGAACATTTTATTTGTATACACAATAGGTATGGTAATGTATATATAATATATTGTACTAACTACGTCTATAACTATATATATGTATGTAGAAAATATTCGTAAAATAGACGAATTAATTTGACTCAACACAATCACAAGCAACATAGAAAAGTTACCTAATATATTTAGAGCGTATAGTAGACATTTTTGGGAACACGGAAATTACCAACTATAAGATTCGAATAACTTATCATTTTGGCAGCATTCAACCCATTGAAAAAAATCGTAATGTTGTATCGTATATACTACAAATATGTTATATACATTTTTGTAGGTGACGGTGTGCTACACGCGTGCGCGTACACACTACACACACACACACACATGTACATATTATTTTGTAGTAAAGATGGGATGACACACGAGTCAAGTATTTTAATGAATATTCGTCATGTGTAGTGTATATATGTATGCGTATCATACATATACATGTTCGTTATATACAAATAATATGTTCTCTTCTTGGGTAGTGTACAAACGTCAAATAAACATGTACATTATATTATAGAAACGAGAATAGCCACTTAAAACGTATCACTTTATTCTTAAAACATCGACACACGTTACATATTACACACAGGGTTATAAGTTTAGTGTAGACGCCACCACCAGCTGGTATCATATATTTATAATTTTTCATGGAAAATTTGAACTAGAAAAACACTTGATTCGTTAAAAATTCACATAAGTCACATGCGAAGTTAGGGAAAAATATGAATCAACTTATAAGAGAAAACTGTTTTAAAAGTTATTTTAATTTTTAACTTTAACTTCTAATAATTAAATATGTAATAACAAGATATTATTCAGTTGCAGTTTTACTAATTATGGCCATACTAGATACATATTTTTATTGAATTTATAATACAATTTAAGTTTGATAAATTATTTTTAATTATTAAAATTAAGTATAAAGAATCATTTATATTTAAATGTATAGAAATAATTAAGTCGAATCAACTATTTTATACATTTATAGTTCTTACAACAATCGTCAACCATTTGTGCGATTGAATTTGATACAGATAAGCACAGATTCAGTTTTCGCACAAATTGGATACCTACTTTAATATCGGATATTATAATTGTATATTTATAATATGTATATCGTGTAGTGTATAACCGTATACTTAGGTTGTAAATATATTATACCCTTAACATTTTCAGCAGTCTTGTATAGTACAAAATATACTTTATTATATACGCAAACTTTAAAAACAAGGGTTAATAGGTAATAACATTGGCCCTATTGGTATCTATATTGTATTATTTTATTCGACGAAAACAAAATCTGTTTTATCTGGTTTGATCAAAATATTTTTTGTTGAAAAGTTGTTTTTGAGAATAAGACGTCAATATTAGCTCATATTAACTTTTTAAATATTATCAGCAATTTTGTATTTATTTTATTACATATGATTTAACAGAAATTATGAACTAGATACACGTTAAAAATCTATAAGTCAGCGAGTATGGGTGCATAGTACATACAGATCAAGAGAGGGAGTGAAAATATTCGAATTTGTGACAAAATATAAAGTGTCTTACAGACATATAGATTATTTTAACAAACAATCTAAATAATCATGTCAATGTTTAGTGATGCACGTAAAAATAATGACTGTATAACAAATAATGTGTAGGTATATAATTATATGAACACGCAGAAAGTTCAAAGTTGTAATGAATTAATAATATAATGATATAAATAATATAAGTAAAACCAACATGAATATAAATGAAACTACCATCGATTTCTGTTTTAAAAAAAAAACCTAATTGAAATTAAAATAAATTTATTCCCATTAAGTTTTGAATCGTTTATAATACGCGCGCGCGCCGTTGCGTGCACCCTGCTCGAATCAACCCTCGTGGAATATACTCAAGTTATATATATATATATATATATCATATGCAAAGTACTCGTCATCGTACAACCCATCCGACGGATATGCACGGGGAAAATAAAATCTATATATATTATGTGTGTGTGTGTGTGATACAGACGCGAAAAAAATGCCATATAATATAATACGGCCGGTAATGAAATCCGTTCCATTCGCCATTTTGAGTGCGTATAATAATTGATGTTTTTTATTCTTTTTTATACAAGCATACTGCACATTTCCACCGCGTGTACATTGTATGCGCACCGCATTTATAGAAAATGGCGAATCTCAAACTAATTTTTTATTAAAATCAGTATATTACATAATATTATAAGACACCATCTATTATGGAAGATATAGACATACACAGTAAATACAGTATACTTCATAAACACACTCAAAACGATAAGACAGTCTACATCATAAAGTACCACTAAATATAGATTCATTACCTACATATATGATACCCAATAATATATTGTACCTATATACTTTGATTTCATGTTTGCAAATTTAATACAAAAGTGTATATTATATTATAAACAGGATGATTTAAAGTGATGCACAGAGTGCTTACTCCTATTTTTCAATTAATAATAAATGTATTAAAATACTTATGCTTTTAATTTTTAAGTAGGTAAATTATGCTATATTTTAAAATAGATTTCCACTTAGTATCCTGTTGTAATTACACAACATTCTCATTAACAAATAATATACACCCTTTTTCGATTGTTGATATTGTTAAAAATATGATTTTTTTTAAGGTCGATGTATATAAATTGAAAAAAAGTTTTAGAAAATATATGCATAGATTATGATGATTTCCAAACTAAAGTAATGAATAAACATTTTATAATTTTTGTAAAACCATTATTATAAGTACTATTATCTTTAGTACACAAAGTTAACTAAAGCAGATGCGTCTTGTTTGAATTTAAATCCGACAACATTTGAAAAAATATCATCAATTTAACATCTTACAATAGAAAAGGATGTTCCCATTTGAAAAAAAAAGAAATAAGTTTATATTGTCACAGGATACTCTGGTATATTAGCAATCTAATTATTTGAAAATATGGACTTTCAGTATATTTAGAAATTAATTCTAAAAAACAGAATATTATCAATAAAAAATAAAATGGGTGAATATAATCTGTAAATCATCAGGTATATCGAGTATAATTGCATTTGTTTCCGATTATTGTGATTTATTTTTAATTAAACAACTGTAAAATTACAAAGATTAGATAAAAACATATTTATCACACTGTTTGTATAACTATTTTAAAAACCGTAATCATGGTATTTCAATCGTTAGTAATTAACAATTATTATACCATCGTTTTTAATCACTGTTATTTATTGAAATACTTAATCGCATTCTCTCATTGCAACTTGCAATAACACGTACAAAAAATACTATTTAATTGGCTCATTACGATGACAATTTAAAATCTAGTATACGATATTTTCTTTTTATACAGATATGCAGGTAAATGCGGTGAAAAACACGGTTAAGCAAATCTCCAAATTCGATTGATTGCTGCCAATTGTAACCAATATTATTATAAAATTTCACAATTTTTTATCCTTAAATTTGTTTGAAATACAAAAGTATACACATTATTCATTTCAAATAATAAAAAAAGCCAGTGTCAGAAGGTAAATAATTTAAAATTATTTATTGAAACTAGTAATTAGACCGTGACATTTATAATTTCAGAATTATAAAAAAATATATTTTTTAAGCCCTAATTAGGATATGATAGAGTCACCCAACTTTCAAATTCAGGAGTAGGTATTTATTTGTAATTTACATAATATAATAGTGGTTTTTGGCACACACTTAGTATAAGAAATAACTAAAAAATATATAATATATAATAAACATAAACAAGCATAAACTATAATACGTAAAAGAAGTATACATGAGAGAATATAGTATATAATATACACCCAGATTACTGACGTTTCCAATCAATATTAAATTATTTTAGACTTAAATTAAATTATTATTATTATTATCATTATTTAAATTATTTTAGGTTTTTTAAAGTTTAATACTTTAATGTGATAAATTGTATCAACTAAATATTTTTTCTATGGAATTCCAAGGAGTGCCAACCCTACGAGTGCAACGAAAATAGCATTAAAAAATTCAGTATGTATACCTATTAAACATGAGTTTCAAAACAAAGTACACTCCAAAAACAACCATGAACCGAGCGAGAATAAACATTATTTAGGTATAATATATTATAGCGGTTGGGTACTTGGGAATCAAATTGTTTTTGTTAAGAAATCGTGATTCACGGTTATCAACTAAATGAAGGAATACAGATCGTTGACTAATTTATCGAACATTAATATAGGTACCTATAACTAGTATACTTATTTAAGCACGTCGTAAATATTTTAATGTTTCGTTTACGCTATTGACATTAAGCCGAATATATTTGTACACAAACATACCTCACGCACGCGAAATACGCATACCTAATTGCAATATAATTATTTTCGTTGGTAGAAAAAGTCGATCGGTAATATTAATATATACCTA